CCTTTGTTGGCAAACCTGTCATGGAGGACTGGTTGTCCAGGTAGTTGTAAGATGAAAGTCTTCATTCTGAATGATAATGAAAGCATAATACTTCAGCAGTGACTTTTGAAATGTCTATTTGTTGTGTCTCAAGCTTCCTATTTATTCATTCTAGTCTAGTTGGAGGACTGGAAGATGATGAGAAACCATTGTTCTTTTTTCCTCTTCAGCTGGGTGGTAACTTGGATCCCCTCTGTTCATTGTTTAAGTGTACTTTACTGATACAGTTTGTAGAACTAGTGCTTTGTCATTTTGTTTGTCATCTTTAACACTTTCATCAGTGTTGTGTCTTGAAGCACTTATGGATTTTCGAGGTGATTTTGGATCAAGGACATGTTGGGCTGTGTCATCAGCACATGGGGAAGGAACTGCTTGAAATGGATTTGTGTCTGGAAACCTGTGGGTTTTAATTTTCCACATAAGTAGTAGGGTTTCCAGCTTCCAGGTGGTACCTGTAGATCTCCAGCTGTTACAACTGATCTCCAGGCGACCAAGATTTGCACATATGTGTATAAGTAGTAGGGTTTCCAGCTTCCAGGTGGTACCTGTAGATCTCCAGCTGTTACAACTGATCTCCAGGCGACCAAGATTAGTTCCCCTGCAGAAAATGGCTGCTTTGGAGGGTGGACTCTGTGGCCTTGTGCCCTGCCAACATCCCTCCCCAAACCCTGCAGGCTCCACCCCCAAAATCTCCAGGTATTTCCCAACCAAGAGCTGGCAACCCTGAATTAAGTTGTGTGTATGTCTGGTATGTTTATTATTACTTTCTGTATCAAATGTGGCTGTTCTGGCACAAACTTTACACACGTGTTGTTTCTACACTTCAACAAAGCCACAGAATTGTGCACTCACACTGACTGAATGCGTATTTTAGGCCACAGTCCTCTCTGCACATATATTCTGCTACACAAGCCTGTTGAAGTGAAATGTAGTTCTGTGTGAGCGTGCGTGGGACTTGCTAGGCAAAGTGCCTAGTGGATTGTGGCGTCTGCTGTCTACTGAAAGGGAGCCACCATATGGATTTTATTTTTTGGCCTCAGGCCTCAAAATGCCTTGGGCCAGTCTTGATCCCATAAGAGCCTTCCCCAGTCAGAAAAACAAACAGGCAGCACCCTCCAAGGGTAACTAAACAAAACATGTGTATTTGCTGGCAGAGTTCACTATTGTCCTAAGCTCTGGCTGAAGATAAGGTGTATGTGTGTGTGTGTGTGGGGGGGAGAATCCTTGCCCTGGTTAAGGGTCTGCTTTATTGGCCCTGAGCACTGGGCCTCTGACAGGCCCCTAGGCTTCCCGTGTTACATTGATAGTCATGGTGGGTGGGTGGGGAATCAGAAGCCCCTTGACCAAAGCCAGGGAATGCACAATTGCTGGGGGAAGGGGTGGGGGTGGGGAAGGAGAGCCTGCCTCCCGCTTTGACAGCCTTGGAACCACAGCACGCTTATCTCTAAAGACATTGACAGATACACGTTCAGGCTTTGCTTGAGAACTTTGCAAGAAGTTTTTCCCAACTCCCCAAGTAGATTGCTTAGTTGTTTTCTGGGGCTCTTCATAGTTTAACAAAGAAGAGGAAAGAGAGACTTCACCTAAATCAATTTGGCCTGCGTTTCAGGGCTTCTTAGGATCACTGTTACCGTCGGCCTGGTTGTTTTTTTTTGGTGGGGGGGACTATCACAGTTCTTTTTTCTTTGCTTGTGTGTTTTGTTTATATCAAAATGTTTAGAAGGCTTCTGTACTGTGTGTTCCAGCCGAAAGAAAGCATATGCACAGTGTGAAGTACGGTTGTCAGCTCAGGGCTGGGAAATTCCTGAAGATCTGTGGGCTAGAGTTGCCAGGTCGCCTTGGCCACTGGCAGGATATGGGGGGGGGGGCAGGGCTGTCAGATCCAGGTTGGAAACTCCTGAAGATTTGGGAATGGGGGAGGACAGTTGGGGTACAATGCCAGAGAGTCCACCCTCCAAAGCATCCATTTTCTCCAGGGGAACTGATCTCTGTAGTCTGGAAATGAGCTGGAATTCTGTGGATCCCTAAGTCCCACCTGGAGTGGAGTTTGGGGAGGGGGACGGGAGGGTGCTCAGTGGGGATGTGATACCATAGAGTTCCCCCTCCAAAGCTGCCATTTTCTCCAGGGAAACTGATTTCTGTCATGCGGAGATCAATTGTAATTCCAGGACAACTTTAGGCCCTGCCTGGAGGTTGGCAACTCTAGTGTGAAGGGACACTGTAGAAGTCACAATAGAATTTTCTACACTTTATCTTCTCTCAGGGGAAAGTAGCCACAACTGATTTGTGATTTCTGACGTTTTATTGCAACCAATACAATAACTGGGAATCCAGACAACTGATAAAACAAAGTAATGTATTACGCTCCCCAAAGGTATGAAACAAAGAAACCGGTTGGCGACTAAGTCAGATCTTTTCTGTACCGGACAGTTCACAAGCTTGATTAGTAGCATCTCCTGAGAAATTGGAGGGGGGTGCAAATCTATCAGCACCCAGTTGTAATATAACAATGCTGCATTTTGCCCCTTTGCATTGGAGTGCAGAGGTTGTGTTGTAATTCATTAGTACTTCACTTCGGCAAAAGCCAGCAGTTCTATTTTTGCTGTTGCCCTGTGGGCATGCTGAAAGCTGTCTCCCACACTTTTAAGAATCAGGGCTGTAACTGAATACCAATGGCCACAATCCAGAGAGATGTTCCGAGATTTTGAGCACGCCCAGTGGCACTCTCCCCTCCAACCCGGTGGGACTTCTGGCAGTTTTTCTTTGACTAGCTGCCTCTATACTATGTTCCAAACCACTTTTAACACTCCTGAATTCTTTCTAAGACCTACGCTGCAGGTCTTGTAGAACTAGAGCTTGGTTATAAGGAAGATAAAAGGGATTATGGTATGGAAGTGTGACTTTTTTGGAAGGTAAAAAGACTGAGTTGTGGGGAGGGGGTTAAATATAAGACAATGGGTTGGATCCTTTGCCTTCTTTCTCCTTCTGCAGTGCCTTTTCCCATTGTGGAAGGAGTTTCCCACTTCAGAGTGCTCTCTTCCAGAATTAGGCATTTCCTCTCACATAACCTCCAGGTGGGGCCAGGAGTTCTCCCAGAGTTCAGTTCCTTTGGAGAAAATGGCAGCTTCAGAAGGTGGGACTTGCTGAGCGCCCTCTCCAAACTACCCTCCTCAGGCTCCACCCGCAAATAGCCAGGAATTTCCTAACCTGGATTTGGCAACCCTACAGACCAATGTCTTCTAATGAGTAAGAAAGCGCCTAGCATTAGAGGGGCATGATCTGCAGAGGAGGACCACCTCTCCAATATGTGCAGGGAGTGGGCACAAGCAGAAAGAAGCCTTTGGATCTAAACCTCTATGACTATTCCGTATGATAATTATAACTATTTAATTACCTCATTTGTACACTGCCTTTCTAACTAGGGTTGCCAACCCCCCCGGTTTGCCAGGGGTCCCGCCCCCAACACCCACAGCCACCCCTCTCTCTCCCTTTAAGTGTGTGGAACCCATGTTTCCTCCCAAGCCCAATCTCCGGATCTTCGCTTGAGATCAGGCTTGCAGGATAATGCCAGCTTCGTGCACTTAAAAGGGAAATGCAGCTGCTCTTAAAGGGGAAACGCCAGCTCCTGCATTTAAAAGGGAAACGCCGGCTCCTTTAAGTGCAGGGAACTGCCGTTTCTGGAGATCTGGTGCACAGGTGGGTGGGGGGGTGGCGGACGTCCCCAACGTTACATCATCACGTTGGGGATGCCTCGCCCCCTCCGGGAACACTCCCAAAGTCCCCCGCTGGGGGTGGAAGATGGACTTGGCAACCCTATTTCTAACCAATGGGAAATCAAAGTGGTTTACATTCTCCTGCTTTCTGTTTAATCCTCCTAGCAACCCTTTGAGGTAGGTTAGGCTGAGGGTGTAGGCTGGCCCAAGATCACCCCATGAGCTTTCATGGCAGACTGGGGATTTGAACCTGGGTCTACTAGATCCTAGTCTGACCCTCTAACCATTACATCATACCGGCTATCAGTATGTTATCATTTTTTTCATTAATAATGTGAACAAGCAACATGATAGACAGGAGAGAATGGATATTTACAGGTCATTGTTTTCGCTTAAAAACAGAAAGCTTGGTTTTCCAGATTGTAGCCATTGTTTCGTACTTCATACAGAACAAATATGCTGAGCAATTCTTTTCTCCCATTGTTTCTGATAGCTTCTAGGTAGGATATCCTTAAAAGGATATTGGCCTGTCCCTCTCTGCTCATAATTGTAGTCAGATTAACTCTAGGGTTAAACAGTAGCTTTATGCAAATAACAGGCGGAGTGCAGCAAGTTTGAAATGGCTTAAGCCCCTGTTGAAATCAATGAGCTATTAATGATTCAGTGGGACTTACTTTTCCTGGGTTGTGCCAAATATATTTGAATGAGAATTCAAATGTACTATTTTATTCAATATAGGATTGTTGCATTCATGTTGCCTGCATATACATACAAACACACAATCGACTTAATGCAATCGCAGCAAGGGGCTTCCAAGTAGGGCTGCCAGCTCTGGGTTGGGAAATACCTGGAGATTGTGGGGGTGGAGCCTGAGGAGGGCGGGGCTTGGTGGGGGGAGGGACTTCAAGGGGGTATAATGCCACAGAGTCCACCTTCCAAAGCAGCCATTTTCTCCAGGTGAACTGATCTCTGTTGCCTGGATATCAGTCGTAATCCCAGGAGGTCTCCAGTCATCACCTTATAGACCAGTTGTAAAAAGTTATTAAGATTATGTGCGTTGAAGCTATTTTAGCACTCTGCCATGTGGTGTTAATAATAAACACTGACTCTTGTTTTTTCTGTTTCAGCTCTGTCGTGTACAGAGAATGCCACACTGAATATGCCAGTTTCTTCTGAAGCAAAAAACCTTTGCAAGAATCAACGATCTACAATTCTCCCTCCTAGTTGCACATCTGCTGTCTGACAGACATGGCTCGTGATTCCCGATCATCACGATTAGCAAAAAAAGAGGAGATAAGGAAAAAGAAATCGAGCCCAGTCAAATGCATAACTTGCCAAGCCACAAAAGATGCCAAGAATACTTCTCCAAAGGCAGAAAGTTCTTCAAAGTGCAAAAAGCCAACGGAAGAAAAAAATGATGGCAAGAAAAAGCCACAAGAACAGAAACCCCCGTTGAATTCCTCATGCAGATTCCTCAGGAGCAGCGTCACCAAAGCCTTATCAGGAGCACCTTGGGTGAATCTGGAGCTAACTGATAATGTTCTCTTTCCGAAGGAGCCTCCTTTGAGCTACAATAGCTTCACAATGACTCTTCGCAGGAAACCATTTTTCCATACACTTTTCCAAAAACCAACCACTGCAAAAGTTAAGAAGCCTAGCTCAGAAAAAAATGCGAGGAAAAAAAGTAAGTTTGAATTAGAAACCTCCCCTTTATTACAAGAGAAACCAGCTAAAGAGACAACAAGGTTTTCCAAACAAGAGTTACGCCAAAAGAACCAATTATCTTCTCCCAAACGAGATGAGCCTCTGTGTGGTACAGGAAGAAACCCTGCTTCTGAATGTGAAAGTCAAGCCCCAAAAGGAGAGATTTATCTTGAGAAAAGTATAGCCGCTTCTAACAACCCTGTCTCCGATAGCCATCGTCCAGAAGTATTAAAAGAGCAGTGTGAGAGTGAAGAATTTGGGGCTAGGGAACAAGCACCAAATGATCTGTCAACTAATGGCTCAGCTGAAACTTTGGCCAGTTCTGTGGGTCCACTTCCACAGCTGGATTCTGCCATCACTTCAGTAGTACAGAAAAATGAACTAGGGATGTTTGTGAAATCACATTTTCAGAGTGGCTCAGACTCGCCATCTGCCCTGAAAGAACATTCCAATTCACATTCCAATTCTGCACAGACGCTTTCCTCAGAAACAAAATCAAAGGTACTTGTAAAAAAATCTGAGTCTTCTGTAGAATCTCACTCCAGAACTGATTGTGTTTTGGTGCTACCTGACGCTGATGTTTTGATTACCTCTGAATTAATCTCAAAATTACATTTAGATGATCAGTCTGTGTTACCTGAGACCCACTTCCAACAAGTTCCTGAGCCTACTGTTGAAGAAGAAACTGGTTCACATGATGTCTCTAAACCAGAAGGTTGGTTAAAAGAGCCAAGCCTTTGTGTGGAATCTCATTCACCAAAAGACGTGGAACTGGAGGCAACCAATAAAGCACTTGGTTCCTTTGTCAGCGCTAGACAAAATTATCTAGGATGTGACCCAATTAACAAAGTTTGTGAACATGTTTCTAATACCTCTTTAAGTAGTTTTATTTTGGGAGATATTCAGCGGACACTTGAAAAGATCTCTGCAGAAACTTTTATCTTAAATTCGGTAGCTATGCCTGTTGTGTCTCTCAGCCTAGAAAAGAACACAATGGGTTCCATTTCTGTAAGCAACGAGGTCTTTCCTGAAACTCTTCCAAAATCCCCTGGTAGTTCTAATTCAGGGCTGCAATCACACAATGCAGTGGATACAGAAAGGACAATTTTGCCAGGGGACTCAATTCCAAAGCCTCAGGACCCCTTGCCACAATTGGGATACGATGTGAACTCTGTTTTGGCCATCACAAAATGTGGGACTAATCCAGTTACAGCTTTAGAACCATCCTCTTATGGAAGTCCAACTAATGGCCTTTCTGTCCCAAATACCTCTTTGCAACTTGTGTTTGAAAAGAAGAAGCGGAGGCGATGTGGAGTATGTGAACCTTGTCTGCGGAAAACTAACTGTGAAGAATGCAGCTGTTGCAGGAACCGTAAAACTAGTCACCGGATATGTAAAAAGAGAAAATGTGAAGAACTGAAGAAGCCCCCAGCCCCACTCCCACCCCCACCCTTTCTCCCCTTAGAGGTGAGTAAATCATATGTCCTTAAGAACTCTCTTCATAACATTTGTACAAGGTTGTTTTTCAAAATTATGTCACTAGGCTAGGCTTAAATGTTAGGAATATTGGTGGGATTAATGACAGTTGTCAATACAGTTCTAATGCCAGGCACAATCTAACATTGTCAGAAGTACAATTAAGCCCACTGAGATCAATGCAGTGTGATTATATGCCTGTAAACATGAGCAAACAAGTTGTTACTGTACGTTCAGGTGTATAGAAAGAGCTTAACGTGGTGGACTTCGTAGAATTTTAGAGCAAAACTTTAGGGGGTGCTAAAAATTGAGGCTGCTAAAAAGTCTGGATAATATCCTTCTTTTTAAAATTTTATTAGTTTTAAAGTTTAGCATATTTTTCCAAGGGGCTCAAGGCAGTGCATGTGGTTCTCCTCTCCTCGCCCTGTGGTGAAGATTAAGCTAAGAGACTGACTGGCCCCTGGTTACCGTTTAGCTAATGGTGATGCCTTTCTCACTGAGACACAGCCTAGCTTGATGAGTAGGGATTTGATCCTAGGTCTCCCCTGGTATGACCCAGCACTCTTGACTGCTGTACCACTCTGATTTAGAGTAATTCCCACTTTATAAGACATTCTGAAATTACCTTTGAGTCTTTATTGTTATTTTTTTTAAAGCAAACAAACTGTCAGATCCAGATTGTGCTGATGACTGAATTGTCTTCCCGACGAGTTTTAAGCAGATAAGCATGTTCAGTATAAACTATATTCTGAAACAGCACTTCCTGCGAGTGATTTCAATTATGTAAATATTTGTTCCTTAACAATATAGATCTATTTTCTTTGTAGATGTTTTGTATAATCAGACTAAAAATTGCAGCCAGGCCCATGAGGGTCCCCCATTCCCTTACTACTCCCCCCCACCCCCATCCCGGTAGGATATGGTTTTAATTTTTGCCTATGAATTCAAATGCTACACTTCTAAATGTTTATTATAGGTCCAAATATTGAGAATCTGTATGTGGCTTTTCATGCTTGTTTCCTGTAAAGAAACATTTGTGCTGTAGGGCATTTTGATTTAATTGCTTTATCACCAGTCACTGTAATCAGATGCGAAGAATTCAGTGAACCTGATGTCATCGTACTTTTTTGCTCTCAGGTGTCAAAATTCAACCCTGTTTCAGGTTGTGAACCTGGGATTTGAAAGCAGGCAGGTACCATCATGTGGCTGTAGACGGGGAAACTAGAGACAGGCCCACCAGCCACACATGGAAGCGGTTCTGTTGCTCCGAAATAATGTAGATCGTAATGATTTAGAATTGGCATGTGGTTTCTTTTTATGTTGGCATTTTAATAGGCAGAGGTTCTGGTATGCTGGAAGACTTCACTGGACAATGACTGGCATTCCTTGAACATTTTGTTCAATAGGGCATATTCTATGCATTGTGAAGGTGTTCTTTGAAAAATCAGCAACAGAACAGCAGATGTCAGGGGCTGCTATAAAATACTACAGACCTCTGTGGGAATCTCCATGAATTGTTGGTTGTTGAAATTCAGATATCAATTGGTGAATTAAGTTCCTCATCGGTGAGTGGATTTAACCATCCATGATGACTGAATTATTTTGTGCATCTCGGAGAACAGGTCACTGGACAGGGTCTGGTAACAATATGCTAATTAGCTGTTGGGGAGTATAGGCTACGAGAGATGAGTATTTCAGTATCTTTGACATGGCAGAGGAAATGCAGTAATTTTTTCTCCAATGGCTTATGCAGAACGCTGAAGGGAACTTGATAATCATAGGGCAAAGGTACTTCCTATAACAGTCACCATAACAGCAAAGGTTAGAATGGCAAAGATCAACCATCCCTAGAACTTTCAGAAACACATTATGAAAAGGAGTGTTGTGGCTCATTTTCATGCCATTTTAAATAATACATAGATCATTTTTGTAATTCTGAGATCTCCAGCCTCCACCTGTAGGTTGGCAGCCCTGTTCAATATAGGGCAAAAACAAATTATGCACTTATAGAGTAGTTTCATACGGTCTACATTGAAATTCTTCCCGGCTATCATTTTTGTCGTCATTTGTATGAGATGACTAAACTATTTATGGAATATTTTGGAACAAGATGTCAGTTTATTCTCATGAAATTCTACATTGAAATGACAGTATTTTCGTACTTCTGAGAGATCACCTCTTCGATGATGGAATGCTGAAGAATTGAGGCGCCTCTCCGTTCCGAAGGTTCTCCGTACTGAGAGACCGAATGGACTTAAGCAACGCTAACCGGGGCAAGCGCAGGAGATCGAGCGTTTAAAACCGAAAGTAAATGAGGTCTGAGGACCGCTTATGAACGTGAGTCGTTTAAGCGTTGATTAAAGAGAAAAGAAAGCTCCCCACCCTAACTACGCAATAGAGAATTAGATGAGCGGGGGAGGGACGCCTCCCGAGCGCATAAACTTCTGAGCGAATGAGGGGGGGAGCGGAAGAATAAGTGGTTAAAACTGTTAAGAAGTACTTACCAAGGAGTGTTCGAGCGTTTAAGCGCATATTTAGAGACTTTCAAAAAAATTGCGAAAGTAAACAACTTGAAAAACATGGCGGGGAAGAGGGCGTAAAAGGAGAAACTTTTGAAAGCGAAAGGAATTGAGAGCCCAAAACCGAAAGGAACCAACGAGCTGGCAAAGACTTTGGCAGAATCCATGCGCCCCCTAATGGACCAGCTGAATAACTTCAAGGAACAGATGACCAAAGTGACTCAATGTATCACCGCTCAGCAAGACCAGATAAACAAGACTCTGAAAATGATGAATCAAACAGCTGAGAAGGTGAAAGAAGTGGATGCCACTGCACAAAAGGTGAAGAAGAAAGTGAAACAACTGGAAAGGAAGCAAGTCTCCACAGAAGATCAACTGCTGCAATTACAAATGGAAAAGGCTAATATGATCCTTCGCTTCCAGGGCATGCCAGAGACTAAGGGTGAGAATCTAAATGAAACAATGAGTGAAATACTGGCCCCAGTGACAGAGATGACGGTGGAACAGCTGATAAGCGATATGGATGTGGCCTATAGGTCATATTCAGGATATATAAAGAAAAATAATCTGCCTGGGGAAATTGCCGTAAGATTC